ACTAGGAAGTTGGTGTCTTCCTCTGTCAGTTGCCACCTCTCAATCTTTTGAGGCAGAGTGTCTCTTTGGGCCTGGGGCCCATGTTTTCTGGTCCAGGTTAGAAACCAGCAAGTCCTGGAGATGCTCCTGTCTCCACTTTTCCAGAGTTGGGATTATAGTGTGCTTGGCATTCTGGCTTGTTATATGGGTGCAGAGATCAGACCCCCAGCCTCCAGAGCTGTGCAGCAAGTGCTGTTGCCACCAAGCCATCTCTCCAGTTTCTGCAGTTCCATTTCTTCAGTCCTTGTCTGTAAGCTTTCCTAACAGTACAATAATCGAAATAGCTTTCGGTAGTGGGGATTTTCCCAAATGGAATAGCAAGATCTTTTAGAGTCTCACTTTTTGAGCAGAGGAAACTGATCTGTGTCCATATTTTAACTTTGTACAGTGGCACTCATGCAGAGAAACCTAGTCTTTTGGAATTGAATTGGCAAATTTTTTTTCCAATAGGATTTTCTTTGTTGTAAAAATACTTTATTGAGGATGGTATCTGTCTTTTATTAACCCTTTGTGTCTTCTACCCTTTGTCACCTCGGGTTACCATGGGAGCAGAGTGGGACCCAGCTTTTGGCAACATTCTCAACTTGGGGAGAGGTAGTTTGTGCTATAAGTGTAGCCTCATGAGTTGTTGATGGGGGAAGATGACTTTGGCCTCTACATTTTTGCAGAGGGGAGTCTCCTCTGCAAATGAAAAGCATTTCATCCCTTCCTAATATCAGAATATTTCCCGTAATCAACATTCTTCATAGTTGTTATGATCTCCCAGGGAGCCTGGTGAGCTTTAGAATGTCAGGTAGTTAGAACAATTTGGGGAAAACGAGTGGAACTCGGGCGGTAGAACAGGTTAGGAAAAAGTATAACCTCTTTTTGGAAAAGAATGCCAGTTTGTGTCTCCGGCCATTTTATTGTTTTGTTCATATTTATTTTTACAGGCACGGGAGTTGCTAGTTATGCCTTTATTTCTCTTATCTTAGTCGTTCACACTTCTCTTTTTCATTTTATGTGCTTATTTTTCAAAGTTGAAGTTCCAGTACAGCTGGAGTTGTGTCGTTGGGGCTGGTATTATTGCCTCTCACACCAGCCTGCATTTCCCCAAAAAGTGAACAGAAAACTCCCTTGTGCATTTGCCACTGTCCCCTGATAGTGCTTTCATGATAGGAAGTCTTAGAATACAGCTTTAAGGTGGATCTGTACAATTCTGGGGCACACGTTAGGCAAGGACAAGTAAAGACATGAGTACCTAAAGTCATGAAGGAATTGAGCTGTTCAAGCAAGCACTGCTGTCTGTAAGTGTGGCCAGTTAGTTGTGAAAGTCCAGTTTTGGTGACTGCAGCCCCAGCTTTCCCATCATATTCATGCACAAGCTTAGTCTGGCAGGGATTGCTTGCTGTGTGCATAATCCTGAGACTTCACAGAACACCAACATGAGACTGGGGATTTCACCTCATTTTACTTTTGTGTAATGACCTCTTGGTGGTAAACATTTGAGAAATCCTCTCTCGATAGAAAGAAGGACTGAAAGAAAGCTTTACAAAGACTGAACCTTGTTGATTCATAACAGGTCTCTGCTTTTGGATTGATCTGGCAGGGCAGGACTGTCAAGGCCAGGGCTTACTATTGAATTTCCTTTCCCCTGGCCTGAGTACTGTAACAGCCTCTATCATAGGGACACTGAGACTGCTGCTTCTCTGGTGATTTAGTATCACAGCTGCTTCCTCTCTATGTGATATAATTTAAGTTGCAGTCCCCCAAGGCTATTGGTCCCCAGCCTTTGTGGTTTGGGGACCAGACTGCTGTTTTCTCCAGTGGATGTTATTTCTATTCTATCCAGGGTGATTTCCCCCTCTGTATTCACCCAGCAACAGAGAGGGCCCCGTTCCAGGAACTTGCTCTTTCTACATACGGCATACATGGAATCATTTGGATGGAAAATTTGTAAATTAAAATTCTGTTCATTTTAAAATATTCACATTGTGTTGCTCAAATGCCAGTAACTGGAAAATCACAGTTAATGTCCTGTTTTTATAACCTCTTTCGGGATGTTTTAAAATGTGTTTATGTTGTTACTTGGCCATCTTTCTTCCTGGAGCTTTTCTATTTTTTAAATTATAGTCTTTTAAGCAGGTTATATGAATCTGGGCCTGGAGGTTCACTCCTGTTATCTGAGGCGGGGAGGGGGTTGCTGAGACAGGGTGCTAATCACAGCTTTGCAGCCGGCCTCAGCTACAGAATGAGCTCCAGGCCAGGCAGTGCTGCCTGAAACCTTGTGTTTTCAAAAGGCCAGGTTCATAAAAGTTCAATGTCTGATGGCACACAGAATTTTAAAATCCAGATTATGCCATCAAAGGGAATACTTTTAATAGTTTCTTTTTAATTTTTTGACAGTTTTTTTATGTATGTATGTAGCATAGCTTGACCATTCTTGCACAGAGCAGATTGATAGTTCTATTTTCAGGGTTACTGGCTTTTCTCCCATAGCTGGACTGATCCTACTTTGTCTCACAACTCAGAGTTAGAAAGTTACAGGTGATTTGTTTCATGGATGAGCCCAAAACTAGAGAGAAAGAACAGTTTCAAGCTCCAGATTGTTCACTGGTGAGGGGTTTTGCCCTAGGGCAATAGCCTGGGGGAGTTTGGGACAGGTGCAAGTCCTGGCCTATAAGAGATAAGGAGGGAATTTTAAACCACTGTCCTTCACCAAATAAACATGGCAGCCATTTTGCCTCTTCTCAATGCTGTGTACCTTTCTACAGAAGTGTATGAAAAAAAAATGTTTCATTTGCACTAGCCTCCTGAACTTATTGTCCTATTTTCCACCTCAATACCCATCTCAAGCTCCCTGTGTTCTCCCCTAGATGAGCTACAAAGCATCTTCCTTCCACCTTCTTGTCCCCATGTCCTTTACTCTTTTAATTGTTTAACCTACTGAGTCCAGTTGGGTTGGACTGAAATGCTGGCTGCTCTCGGCTTGCCTTAGGCAGGGCTTGTGCAGGTAACCACAGCTAGGGTGAGTTCTTGAGCACAAAAGCTAGGTCATGTCCAGACAGAAGCATCTCATAGCACAACTTTTACACTCTTCTCACCCCTTCCTTCATAATGCTCCCTGAGCCTTGGGGTGGGGGTGGGGGGTTGATATTGTACATTTTAAATAGAAAAAACTTAATTCATTGAAAGATAATGCTCATAAAATTATAAAGCATGCCATGTTTATTTCTTTGGCAGATAAGGGATTTGTCTTTCTGGAACCTATGTATTAAAACTGAGGAAGCCTGTAAGATATTCCTAGCTTTACTGATTTTTGTTGTTGTTGTTGAATTTTGTTTTTGAGACTAGGTCTCACTGTGTAGCCTTATCTGACCTGGAATTCACCGTCTAAATCAGCCTGGCTTCCAACTAGAGACCTGCCTGCCTCTGCCTTCTGATTAAAGGTATGCACCACCACACCCAGCTACATTACTGATTTTAATACTGAAACATCCCAAGTTTTGTTTTTAACTGAACTTTTCAATAGCTTTTATTCTTCCTGCTGATCCATGATGCTCTAGATGAAAAGTGGGCATTTCACATCTACCCTGTGTCTTCTGAGCCCTGTGTATATCTCAGAAAGACAAAAATCTATTTTTTCAGGTTTGATAATAATAATGCACTTAGCTCTTATCTATAGAAAGAATAGTGTCCAAAGTTCTTAGTTCCAAGCTGTGGACTGTATTACTGATAATTAAGAGCTCTGTTGTGGGTTTTCGGGACAGTTTGAGTCCATCTATGTTCACAAACAAGTCAAATTTATTGCCTCTCTTGGCTGTTAAAATTTAAATTGTGCTTTGGAAACCTTCTGCCATGAAATGACAACTTTAAGGCAATTTTTGGAAACTTCTATCATGTTTCCCTTGGGATGTTTATGCTTCTGTATGTGGAGGTCTTCATAAGCAGGGAATCAACTGAGCCTGAACTAACTTCATACCTATTTTGTTTATTTTAGCCTTTTGAATCATTTGGCCTTTTAATATCAGCGTATCCTCACTGAATATGGATTGAGGAAGGGTCTGTCTGTCTGTCAGGAAAACCTGGGTAGCTCTTATTCATTCTATTCCATTTATTTTTAATAGCAACTTAGTGATCCAAAAGTATTTTCTCTTAGTTTTTGAAAGGCTGCTATTTCAAGCTGTAACTTTTTGTTTCTTTGTTGTTACTTTCTGAGACAAGGACTTGCATTGTAATCCAACCTAGTCTGGAACTTTGAAGCCTAGGTTTGTCCTGTACTCAGAGCAGTCCTCCTGTCTCAGCTTCCTGCGAGCTAAGATCACAGGCACATGCTGCCTATCTCAACTCAAGCCATAGCATTTGAAGACAGGATTCCTTATAGCATCAAAAATAAAATGAATAATTTTTCCTAAGGTCTAATTCCCAAGTGAAAGCAGAAGGGTTTACAAGGCAGCCACTTAGTTTATATACCAGCCTTTTATCAAATAAAGGGCACAGATTAAATTAGTTACTATAGGCAAAATGGGTTCATTATAATTAATCAGTAATTTGTGAGTAATCCTTAACTACACTTGACATTTTTCCTTGGGTTGGACAGACTGACTAGTGAGTTAACTGTTTCCAGTTTCTATTCTGTGGAGGGACTGTTCCCATTCCAGGGCTCATGGTGTTCAGTGGGTATTCTATGAGGTGGAACTGATGCTGTAGGGTGGACCAAAGTGCTTTGGAGAAGTGTGCTTGAGCTGATTGACTATGAATGCTAGTGACTTCATAGGACACACTGGTCATGTGTGACGTTGTGGCAACTCTCAGATGTTCATAAAATGATCTTAGTAACCAACTGCCAAGGACTCTCTGCAGTTGAATGTTCAGAACGCTTGCACCATGGTGTTGAAGATACTGCATTGAAAGGATAAGCAGCTGTATGGTAAGAACATAGCTGGGCTAAAGATTTGTTAATTATCCTCTTTAATTAACAGAGGGAGTCTGTGAGATATGGCTGACCAGCGAAGACACTGGAGCCTACGGCAGAGACATTGGCACAGATCTCCCCACACTCCTATGGAAGCTGGTGGCAGTGATTCCTGAGGGAGCCATGCTGAGGCTGGGCATGACAAACCCACCATATATTTTAGAGCATCTGGAGGTAAGGAAAGACCACATTGTCATGCTGACACAAATGTCCCTAGCACAGACCATGTAGCATCCTAAAGATCACCATTCAAGCTTCATTTAGAACCATTGTTCCATGTGTCTATATGCACACATTCCCAAGAGAGAATGAGACTTGCAAAGCGCTTCTTTCATTCTACCAAATTTATTCTTACTTCTTTACTATTTAATTAATTAATTAACTTCAATATATATAAATTATCTGTGTAGACCAGTTTGGTTTCTAAAAGATCTGCCTGCCCTCTGACTTAGTGCTGGCATTAAAAGTTTGGGTCAGCACACTTGGCAATTTATTTTTACTTGGGTGTCTTTTTGTATGCCTGCATATATGTATGCCACTTGTGTGAGAGTGCCTGAGGAGAGCAGAAGAGAACATTGCCCTCCCAGAGCTAGTCTTACAGGTGGTTATGAGCTGCTGTATGTGGTTATTTGCATCCATACACATTCTCTGCAATAGCATCACTTGCCTCAGCTGCTGTGCTGCTAAGTCCTCCTTATCCCCATCAATATTTCATGTTGCTTAAGTTATTTAGTCCCTGGTGCCTTGTCAGGGGTCTTTTTTTTTTTTTTTGTGCTCCTTTAGTTAGTTTCTCAACACATTAATCTTACTTGGTTCCCTCAGTTTGAGAGCTTGCCTAATTGAGAACTGCTAATACGTTGCATTAAATTTGAAAGCCACAGTCATTTGGATTGCTTTAACTGTCTGAAAAGATGTTGTGTCTTAAATTTGATGGTGACTTTTCAGTTTTGTCTTTTTTTTCTAGAGATAGACAGGGACCAAGTAGAATCAAAGGAATGTTGGACTTGACACTCTGTGAGCAAATGAGAAGTGATCTAGAGACTTCTCTATACCAGAGTTTGACCTTTAGGTTAGGTAGCCAAATGTCAAACTAGAAAAAAAAAAAAAAAGGGCATATGTCCAAGGAACTGTGGTATCTGATGACAAATACCATATAAAGCCAAGCAAAGAACTTGGACAAAGGAGCAATTGTTCCAACAAAAAAGAATATGCTAGGATCCATGATTATTACTAGAGAACTATTACTCTAAATCTAGAGTCTGCGACCCAAGCCGAACTACTGCTAATCATGTGGACAGTAAAGAAACAAGGCTTATTTTTCTTCAAAGGTTTTTTTTGTACCATTTTAATGAAGGAAATTGTGTTTCAAAAAACGAAAAGTAAGCATAGTTGCTAAATTTTACTGTCCAAATGCAATAGTTATTTAAACATTAAAAACATTACTGGGGGTGGGGAGGCTGGAGAGATGGCTCAGAGATTAAGAGAACTTGCTGCTCTTGTAGAGTTGGATCACACCACCCATGTTGTGTGGCTCATAGCCTCCCATAACTCTAGTCCAGTGCATCCCAAAATGCCTTCTTTTATCCTCTGTGCCCTCTACCACACACACAGCAGGCACTCACTCAATAGATCTCTTAAAATTTATTTTGGTAATTTGATTTTAGGACTAGTTGAGTACTGTTGAATAGAAATCTTAATATCAGGAGCATAGTTTAGAAATTTTTCAGTTGATGACAAACTGGTAATTATAATTTATGATGGAGACATGTTTCAGTTTTGTTCTTCACATTTTCCCAGCTCAGTCTTTCTATAGACATGTGATTTATAGATTGAATTTCATGCTTCATACAGTGTCAGCTGATTATAATTTGCTATTTTAAAATGAGTCACAAGCATGTCAACTTCTACTTAACACTTTGACTTAACACTTGAGAAAGCAAGTGCTTTTAGTTAAAATGGAACTATGGCAGTCTCCCTGTGTTTGCAGTAAGTGTGAGGCACACATGGCAGAGACTCGACAGTCCACTAGATGTGTCTTTCGTAGGAAGGGGATTGGGCTTCACTGATATGCAGTTGATGGTAACGTGCCAATTTCTTTAGATTGGAAAGGAAAGTTGATCTAGATTGTAAAGTAGTTTTGACAGAGTTCAGGTAGGGAATAAACACAAGGAAAAAAAAAACACAATTGCTCAAAGGTGTCAAACAAGTTCTTCTTGGACTGAATCCAGCATTTTAATTGGTGGCAGGATTGTAGCCACAGATGCTGCCTTCATAGCACGTCCCAGTGCAGTCCATATAAAGCAGTGATTGACTTGTTGGCCTCCCAAAAGGTGATCTAGAAGACCTTATAGGAATCACAGATGTTGTTCAGTGTAACTTTATTCTGTATCTGGGAAACACCAGATGGCTAGTTTATGAATTCTAGAAATGATTAAAATGTCCTGGTTCATTTTTTGTTTTTAATTTTTCTGGTGCCGGCAAGGGGGGTGCACCCCAAGAATGCTGGATATGTGCCCTCAACTTAACTCCATCCCCAGCTCAACATGATAACAAGTTTTAATTGTCATGACAATTGTCTTAAGAGTGCTCAGTAAATGAGTATAAAAGATTGAAAAAAAAGACCTTCATAAAAGAAACTGTAGAGCCCACAGTATGGTCATAAACTTTGAAGTCATGACACTGTGACCAATAGAGACAACAAAGGATGATGATATAAATGAACTCATTTATAGGAAAAGAGCATGCCACAAGGAAAGTCCTGGTTTTATGTGTACTAAAAGTAGTGATTCATGGCAATGTACCTCCCTGGGAATAGGCCATCCAAAACAACAGAATGAACAAAGGCAGGCAACAAAAGGAAAGTTGAGGCCCTTTGGAAGTAAGAATTATTGAACTCTTAGCACTTTGACAAGACCTTCACATGATGGTTCTTGTTTCTTCCTGTGGTGCAGATCCAGTTGTGAGTGACAAGTATACCTTGTGTGACACAAAGGTGCCCTGGGTTCCAAGGTTCTAAGAGCTTTCAGAAAGGAAAGAAATCAAGATATTCAGCCCCTTGACCAACAGTGCCTCTCCCTTCCTCATTGTCTACCCAGTATGTGTATATTACTCAGCAGAAATTGCCTTAGCTAAGATGGTGAGGCAAAGTTACCAAGAAGAAAGAGAAAAGGGACAAGATGCTGAGGAGGGCAACAGGGCAGCATGATTAAAGAAGAAGAAGAAGCAAAAGGAAGAGGATGATGGGTTGAAATTTTCTGGATAGAAGCCTACTCTTGAAATAACAGCTCTGAGCCTTAGTACCTCAAAAGGGAAGATATCCTGACTATATTATTAGTACAATATGGTTTCGTTGAGACCCTGGAAGATGCTTCACACTATGCACTTTAATTAAGGAGTCCCACACAAGAGAATTCTCTTTCACATCCATATGAGTTACTTTTTTTTTTTTTTAATGACTCTTATGAGAAAGTATTCTCAAGTGCATTCATCACCTCTCCACAATGGTTTAAAGGGAAAATTACTTATGGGGAAGCTCCAGAATTGTACTTCTTACAAATATCATATGGAAAATAGATCAGTTGAGGCTGCGTTGTCATTAGCTCTCCATTGAAATAGAGGGCTTTGTCAAGAGTCTGGCATTCTGTTTGGTACTGTACATATGAGATACTGAATAAATACAGAATGATGGGAGCAATACTTCACCATTAACAGGCAGACATGGAGTGAAGTGTCTCTTTGGAACATCTACAGTACTGTTTTTAATATGTTGTCTTTAAAATTTTTCAGAAACTATTGACAGAATTGAAAAAATATAACTATGAATGCATGCCATGCCATTTTTATTTACATGTAATAATAGAAACAGCAGTTACAGCAGTGAGATAAAAACAATTTGCCTCCTCTAGCATTAGCTGCTGCCTCTCCATCACCACAGGTTAGCAGTAAGCTCTTTGTTGTGTCATTTGGGATCCTTAACACACTTTTTTATCTAATGGAGAATGCTATCTCCATTCTCTTGTTGCCCTAGTACCCTTCTAATACCAACTATGTATCCTGTGTGTATATTTAAAGTAAAAATTCAGAGTCCTGAGATTTCTTTCCCCAACCTTAAGACCATGGTTGGCAATGTATCCTGAACACATATTTGTTGCTAGGCATGCTGAGGGAAGATACCCTCACCCCCCCCCCCAGGAGCAGCAAATGGAAATGTCTCCTGTTGATGCTGCTCATGAAATAATCTGATATCTTCTTCTTCTGGGAGCTCTGACCTTATAACTAGTAAAGAAGTTTGCATATTTAGTCACTTATGTAAACGACATTTTTAGTTTTATCTTTCTCCTAATAGGTAGCTCACACCCCAGAAATTAAACACATGAGCTCAGCAAGGTGTCATGAGATTAGTGACAATGAGCTGCCAAGATGGCACCAGAAATTGTGGGTAACTTTGTGTGAGGCTGAATAACAATAATAAATCAATACAGTTTATCAAGCACGTGTTTTTACACATAAAGAATGTTTTCCCCATAGCATCTCTTTTTGTTCTTACAGTAGCTGGCTGCACAGAAGTTGCTGCCTGCATGCTATTAGCCAAGCAGCCTAGTATGAAGAAGGGGCCATCATTGGCTAAACCATAGGGCTAGATCACTACTGAGCTATTTTTAAACTTGTCTCACTCTGAAATGCTCTCTGCTGCTACATTGCTTCTTAGGAAATGTTCTCAGACACTCACAGCAGGTCTGGGCCCCTCTCTTCCTGGTTAAACATCAATGACTTACTTCCATGTCTTCCCAGTACAGCTGTTGTCACACTGTAGAGATGCTTTCCCATTTGTCTCTGCATTTCAGCACCTGTGTCACACATTTAATGCACACCAAATGTTGCGACAGTTCTAAGTTTAGCTTATTAGCTAGTCCTCAGCAACATGCCTTAGATATTAATCTCCTAGCTGTCCTGAGTATCTGGCTGTGGTAGAGACTGGGATTGGTTGACAAGCTTGTTTATCTTGTAAGTTATTTTCTGCAATGAAAGTCTAAGATGTTCTTGGGGAAACTTAAGAGATGTGTCTTTTTTTTTTCCTTATAAAAATACCCACATTGATTGCATCTTCTGATATCTTTCTAGAGATAGCATTTTGCTTTGTAGTTTAAACTGGCTTGGAGCTCAGTATATAACCC